AAACAGCCTAGTTTTTTTCAAAAAATATAATTATTACATGTTGCTATGTTAGCGTTAAGTTGAGGCCCAGATATGCAATTCAGTGCACACCCAATTGCTAATCGTCTGTGAAAAATGAAAAAAAACGTAAATTTAACACTAGGCAAAGTGATGAGAGAGAATTTTCCGATACTGCTTGTGATCCATTTAGCTGGCAAAGATCTTACCCAGTTATTTTGAAGGCAAATAATGCAATTAAGTGAAAAGAAAGCAGTAAGTTACCTATCTTTAACAAAAATATTTATTTTATTTTCGACCAAACCACATGAATGATTAAATCCCATCACTTCGAAGCACAGACCCTGGGCTTTGAGACGATCCAAAGTACGCATTTATTAGGCAAGTAGATTGCGCAACGAAAGGCTAACAAGCGCAAATTGGCTGTTGGTGGCGATATTTGATTTATGATAAAAGAACAGAAAAAGGCTTCATTAAAATGGTCAATCGGATTAATTAATTCTAAGATTTAAAGCCACTAATAAGATTAAATAGGCTAATCCGTTTTACCTGAATGACTGGGTAACTTTTTGTCATAATGAACTCCAAAGGTGAATTAAGCATGTTTTTGTGTTGAAAACAGTGGCCTATATAGCGGTGGTGTACGTGTCCTTCCTTCGCACTAATCCGGCTGACATCCGACTAACCTGCCAAGCGATCGACTTTGGCCAGCTGAGGAAGTCTCGAGAGCAGTGCTATTTACAGCTTCTTGCTGACTGCAATCGGATACGCCTAATCTTGTACGATGGCATTTTTATTCACATTGAGATATATTTTTCGTTAAAGTGCAATAGGTGATCGTCGAATCAAGCAGACTGAACCTTTGACTGTTCAAATTGCCTTGTTTGCAGATAGCGGGCTTTTGAATAATCCTCGGGCACAACTGTGGTTTTCGTTTAAGTGAAGCATAAATAGTGCTTTTTTTCAAAATCACTTTAGAGTCAAACCCGAAGTATATTGAAAAAACAAAAGATTACAAAAACTCTGATTTGTATTTAGTTTCCTAGGTGATTTTAATATAATGCTACTAAATGAATTGACAGTACAAGATTTTGCGATGTCTGCATAAAGAGACTCATCGGCTAAGGCTACTTTACTAGAGAGGTTTGGCGCGACACCTTTGAAATTCAGTGTTGCATGTGCAGGTGAGTGGTTTGACTTCCTTCTCGGAGATATGTGTTATTGAGAAATACAAACATTTTTCAAAGAATTTTTTTTAAATGTTTATCTGCCTAAAATAGTGAAGTGATAAGGTAGATGCGGGGCCACTTTCAAGAATCTACAATTCATTACTAGTATGGATGTAATAGTTGACTATAAAATAGTTGTCCGTCGATAGCAGAAATCGATTGAGTCACTTGTTTGCTACCGCTGAAGTTAACTCTAATGCTGTTCATGGAACCACTAAACGGGCTGTGTGTACGCGAATAAATTACTGGAGGTTTTTGCTTTAGGACTTGGAAAATATCAACTCAGATCACTTTGTTTTCTGCAACAACAAAGACTTATCGGCAGGTCGCGTAGCCTGTTAAACGGAAAGAGCTCTGAAGGGGCATCAGCAAAACCTTGAATGGAGAACAGTTTACGAGGACATTTTGTCGAAGCTAATTTATTCATTACTTAGGGCTCAAGGTTACGTTTTGAAACCCTTGTCCTCGTAGTAGAAAAATGCCAACAGCGCATGATAAATTAGCGACTAAGGGCCAACAATATGGACATTTGTTAACTTGGACTTGCATCGAAAGATTAAAAAACCCTATCAACAGTGGCCGGTAAGGGTAATTTATTAGTGGGAATCAACATTTGGTCAACATTTCGAAAACTTAAATTTAGGCGGTTATAATTAAGGGCGCACACAAATTATCCTCAACTTAGACTTCGTTTTCTTACATTTTGGCTAATTTTGATATGGAGGGATAGAACAAGAATTGTCACATCTTAGCGGAATGAATGCGACAAATTTACTAAGTTATCACCATGCGGAGGCTCAGTAGTTCCAGAAAGAAGGCCTCAGCTAACTTCAAATAAATCATACAAATATGCTATTGGCACCTTTGAGGAACACATCCGGGAGCGCTGAAGGTACCCCTGGTCAGGGGGCCTCGCGTTTCCTTGCCTACTCAAACAGTTATTAAGATTGCTAGAAGAGCTTTATTAATGCGTTTTATGCTCTTTTATACTTCTTTATGGGAAAACACTTATAAATAACCCAACTGCTCCACCCCTCATTGTTTAAAGGGGCTATTATAAAGCGAAAATAAAAACGCAAGTAAATCACATTTTTCAATACCTGAATTATAACAGTAATTCCTTTCCTCAAGCCTGGCGAATTGTAGAAAATTACGCAAGGCCGACCTACTGGACTCGCTTAGAGCTGTTAACGGTGGCTGCATCACCTATAGGTAAAAACAGTATGGAGACGCAAATGAGTGAGATCAAACCAAAGAGCAGTGTACCTTATTTGCCGATTGCCGCCTACAAATTATTGGACTGGGTCAGGCCACTGTTTTACAGAAAAATGTGCACCGAGTTTATCGAAATAAGGTCCTTATAAAGTAAAAATAGGGGAAATGGTGATTTTGTCTGAATAAGAATGCAGCTTATCAGTCGTGAGTGGAATTGCCATTCAATATATTGAAAATGCGGATTGGGGTGAAGAATGCTTCCGGGGACACGTTGTAAGGCTATCCATCACGCTGACTGAGTGCAGCACAACATCCATAAAAAACTTCCTTCAGCTGTTTAACCAATCAAATTTTGATGAGTCGCAATCTTAGACGCTTTTCAGGTCTCCAGTTCAAACCACAGGCGCAGGAATCTATTCCATAGAATAGCCAAGGTTCTGTGCTGAAAGTGTTAACAGTACCGAAGGATAACGTAAGTATGAGATGAGTTTATTCAAATTCCAAACTAGAATAAAGCAGTGACTGTAAACATTTTTGCATGCAATAGCAAGTGGGCCAAAATTAGTTCGCGGAATTTCTTTGTCGTTTCTTGCTGAGGCATCCACCTAGGTCACGTGGGATATCAAGCATCGATGACGTCATCATCCAAGGAATACACACACGCGGCTTGTTGCCTATCTCGATACCAGTACTAACCTTGTCCTAATTATTTGATTACGATCTATAAAACATGGGTCATGAAGATGGTGCAGTATGTTACGGGTCCTTTATTTAGCCCAGGACAATTTCACGTTGTGTTCAAGCAAACATCACAAACAACTATTGCGCCATGCTGAAAGTCATCGTAATTTGTCGCAGATACTCGTAAGAAACATCTAGAATTTATCGATAGGACAGTCAGTGTCAGACTTTCTTGTCGTTCTTTGGTAAAATTCAGTCTACTCTAGCCGGTGGTGCCCAAATGGCTGTGGACACTTTATTGCAGGCCGGCAAAAAAATTCCTTAAGTTGGTAATATTAGAAAATAGGTAGTTGTGGCTAGCTAAAACAAATGTCACCGAAAAGTCCTGTATTTACACTTCAGGACTCTTTCATACGGCGTGGGACTCACCTCCGCATCAGTAAGATGACAAAAGAGAACCATGTTACACTTTAGTCATGTTAACGCATTGAGGGAATGAAGGTACAGATTGCCGCTTTGCTTTTGGGAACTTACTTTGTACACTTCTAACTCGAAGATGAATGACAGTTAGTAGATCAGCTTTTGCGAATGCAGTTTTATTCAGTTACCGGATAATTTAATCAGAAATAGGCAAATCAAGCACGAAATTTGTAACATTACATTATCCTCTGTTGCAGGATGCAATGCATACGTGGGAGTAAATCAAATAAAAGATTGCCTGGAAATTTACTGTTGACAAAATAGCTGCCACAAGCACCAGCGCTGATATACGGACCACTTAGACATCCGTTGTCATGGTAAAGTAGCACCCAAATAACGACTTAAAAGTAAAACCTTTGCTTTGAAGTGGGAAGGCGTAATGGTGGTTCCATTAAACTCTGCGTAAACAAAATCCCTCCTTAGGCGAACGCCTACAATATGTTGTATTTCTTAGTAGAAACTCGCAAGGTGGTTTACGATAATACGCACTTTAATGCAGTATACGTTAGGCTCTGCAGGTAAATTGGTTTATCTTAAATCCAATGTGATCTGACCCAAGTTTACAAAATGAACCCCATAGACTTACTTTAGGCGACGATAAATTGTATGGCATCGTTGAAAATGCATTTTCAAGGTTTAAAGTTGCCATGGAATATGACGCTGAATCTGCCGCAATAATTGGGATCTCTTCCTATTTGGGCTGATGACAATTTATGCTAGGTTGGAAAATCGTGGCACCGAGAAGAACAGCTCAGCGGTGTCTTGGTTGCAGTTCTAAAGGCCAACTGACTTCATGAACGCGTTATTTTATTTCGGGCACAAGGACTGCACTGAAGATCAGGGTGGCCTTTTGATCGACTTGTAAGTTTCAATGGAGAAAATATTCAACATGATTTATGAAGGTTATTTTTGCCAAAGTTAGAGTGAATCTGCGATCTGGTGTAAAAGACGGATTTGGTTAATAAAAAATTTCCGAAACCCAAGACGAAATAATACTTGTGTGTTTGTGGATTGCCCTACGTTACAGATGGTGATACTTGATCGTGGCTTATAGTACTGGGGAGAAATTCATTAATATGTGTGGCCCTGTTGAATTCATCTCGTACTTTCAACAGCTGTCACCTTGAACGGCTAACCGATGCTCGCACGGCCGCACGCGGCGTGCGTGCTCGTCTTTGCTGCGCAGACGCACACAGCCGCACGACGCGCTCTCGCATTTATCCCACTTTATTTGGCCCTCTCCCATTCGCTCCCCCCGCACACGTCTTTAAGATAAAAAGCGCCACTTTCGATTACTACTAGCACACATACATACAGGCCTACAACCACACGCATACAACAACTCACAAAATTTATCTTCTCGCCCATCAACAACAGCCACAGTGCCTCCATACCGGCATGATGCGTCAATTATCTACTGTTGTGTTCTCTTTGATCGTGCTTGCCAACTGTTCGCCGTCCCCTGCCGCCTACAGGACAGCTCCAACCACCACGGTTATCAGGCGCGAAGCTCTCTACAACGATGATGAGGCAGGGAGTGTGGAAGTTCTGAGGAAGGAAGATGACAAACCTCAGTTGGAATTTGTGAATCCCCTTCAACGAAATCAACTCGAAGAGAGCGCGGAAGAACTTATGGAAATTAGAAGGCGAAAAAGAGAAAGAGAGGAGGAGCAGGAGGAGCAGCGGTTTCGGCGAGAGGTCCAAATTGAAAAGTTTAAGCAGACACTTTTAAGGCGGCTTCACTTAACTGAACCACCCGATCTGAGTCACCATGGAAGTGTGTCGAACAGAACTGTGGCAAATCGCTTTCTGCGGTCCCTCCCACTGGCTCTACAAGGTCGCCTGCTTAACCAAATTCGCGCTGATGACGGAGCTGTAGAGCCACCAGCAGACAGGACAGACGAAAGGGAAACTCTGATTTTACTAAGAAGCCGTAAGCTCAGCCTTTGCATTAAATTTTGACTTGTTTCCACATGTATAAACTTTGTTCTAATTTCTCAAAAGAAATTAATCCACCCAAAGCATGTTGACTAACTTCAGATCAACTGAGAGTCCTGAAAACTAAAAAGTAGCATAGTCCTTGAAGCATTACTTCAGAGTTCTGACAATTTTCACTGGTAACGGCTTCTCCAAAGCACTGCTTCGGCACATACCAAAACACCTGAGCAAGTATTGATTCTGTAATTATTTGCTGTCGCTGTGATTCTTCAGAAGAGGCAAACCAGAAACTGTGTCAGACGGAATTGGAGAAATCCACGCCTCGAGAACCACTAAATTTTAGTCCTTTTTTTAAAAAGTTCTTTTTTAACTCGTTCTAGCCATCATAACTAACCGCTGCGACGAGTTGCTTGGAGTTATCGCTTTGGCATGCATGCAAAGAAACATGAAATTACACGAAGACTTACCGTTGTCTCCGGAATACCCTGTAACCAAAATGAACTGAACTAAAAATCATTAAAGCGAAAGCATTAACTGAACCATTCAGCCAGTCGTGATGTTGTTGGGCAATGCCAACCTCGTAGAGCCGTTGCGTTCGGCATGATAAACTAACATTTTATGGTTTTAAAACAGCTCACTTAAAGACTATTAAAATACCACAAGAATGTGTGAAAGGGTTACAACGACATCATTGGAATAAACGACGCCACAACGGGTATTCTATTCTTTGAATGATTTTCATCCTTCCTATCGCTTGCTGCAATCCCTGCGTGATCATTCATCACATTAATCAAAATCTTTGTGCGGTCTCAGACTGATTCTGTTGTCGGACAGTTCAGACATAGTTGAGAGGCGGTGTAATCGAAGGTATCCGAGAGTATTATGATGATAGGAAATGTGTTTTCTACTGGTACAGACACACATGAAGCAATTTAGTCTGAATGCGCATACAGTGAGTCAAAACAAGCGAGTTCACACGTTTCATTAAGGCGCCGCCACCGTAAATTTCGTGCACAGAGCGCTTCACCATGTCACCGAACCCTCAAGTCTCCTTCATTTTTCCCCCTAAGGCAACCTTCCAGAAACTTTCGTAGATAATTGGTATTTTCTTTGAACAAAATATCCTTATCCGCAGATGGTTGACATAATACGCGCATTTGTATGTAAAAAAAATTATTGCAACATTTTTAAGCCATTCAGAGTATCGGAACATTTCAGCACCACCAACACCTGTTAAAGAAGGCAGAGATGTCCATATTTTCATTTTCCGGTTTTATAGCTACGCTGTTTATTTAGTCATTTATTATTGTTTGAGTAAATTTGCCCCCTGCATTCTTAAATGGTCAACCACCCTAGTTTACAGGCAATGGACAGTTTTGTTACAACGGTAAAAATACAAGTCCGTAGTTTGGTCAAAAACATTCCTTTAACTAAAACGATGATTTCTGTTGACTCTGCAAGTTGCTAAAACTGCTATTCATAAATCAAAAGATTACTTCTGTATTAGCACCTGCACTATTTTGAGAATTCTTTTTATGTAATTTATTTGTGTAATCAGTTAGATACCTGACTGTATCTTGCAAAAAAATCACCACAGCTTCATCCGTGGGTATGTATTCCAGACAAGCATATTAAGTAAATAGTAACATATTGTTATTTAATGACTTGACCAGAATGTTTACCTGAAACCTATGGAAAAAGCTTTGCGAAAGGATCAAGTAGAAGGTTAATCAGTTTTCAAAACGATTAGACGTCCTTCGTGTAGCAATGCTCATGATGGGAGTTTTCAGACTTGCTTGCATGTTTCTACCACGAATGACGTGAAATTTAACCTAAGAGGTTTTGGCGCAAGTCTAATGACTTGCATATGTGCCAAATGTGTCCCTTCTGGTGTGTGCCAAAGTACTCCGTCATGGTGACTAGGCAGGATAGATGGGTCAAACAAATTAGAGTCAATCCATCAAGAACAATGCCACACCTTATACGGCAGAAACGCCCTTTATACTAAGCCTGCTTGAACAAGGGCCACACTTTTCATAACTTTCAATTTTTACAAAATCCCTCTCAGTAGTTCATTATGTTACGGACCACAGCGATAAAGTAAATTATTAACTTACAATTAATCGAAACCTCGTTGGGGTAATTCTTGATGTTAGAGGCGACTGACAGTTCACCACCAGTGCACATGTAACACTGACTAATTCGTTGTTGAATCATTGTAGGACTTGAATTTTATTTGTGTGTGTGTGTATGATAGGTCGCGTGTGAAGGGCGTTAGATTAATCTACCCCTTTCAGTTGTACATTTGGAAGTTGTCCTCACTCCTGGAGACAGCCCCAATGACGACGTATTCGTTTACCACATACTCCAAAAGAGAGACGCACAAATTGCAAACTATGCAGCTTTGTTTGTAGAATGCTGAAGGAAGAGCCTAGTGAGCAAGAATTTCCACAGAATCTCTACGCCTAGTGACCGTAGTTGGCTGCGAGTGCAAGTAGTGAAGTTTTGCTTGCAAATTTAATGGATAAGTCAATATTCTTTTCAAGGAGCTTCAAGGTAATTCGCACTGTCATGTGGGACAAGAGTGTTCATCAGTAGTTCAAATTACAAGTGTTCCATTGCAGTTATTGCGCATCCAAGTGGGCTAGCGGTCTGTTTCAGGGTACCATCACTATCGGCAGATATTTTCAACGCCATTGACCAATGAGCTGGCAAAGATGACTATAAAATATCTGGCTGCCATCAAAATTTTATCTTGTACGCATGTGTAAAGTGATATTAGTTTCAGAGTTAACAACAATCAAAGACAGATACATTGTGGGAAGCCTTTTGGTTTATGAATACTCGGTCCTGCTTTGTATAGATATTTTCAAATTGACTGGCAACGTTGCACAATGCATTGGCTGTGTGGATGGCCCTGGAGTGGAGAATGAATTGCAGCCACAAATTATATTAATAGAATCAAGCATGACATGAGAGGGAGACGCACTAGGTATATTATGGCAGTTTAAGTGAAAATAAACAGGTTTCGTAAATAAGGATATCAAAATAAAGCAATTTAAATCCTTGGAATAAGTTACAATGGCATAAATGGAGAAGCAAACCTATGAATAATGTATATTTTTCTGTATTTTGTTTTAATTCTCGAAGTTTATGTGACAGTCAGTTTTATTTGCAGTTTACTGTGAATTTATCTGTTTAACACAAATTAATTAGAGAATTTACCTATTTTAATAATTCTAGTTCAATGGAAGTTGCCGAAAGTGTCTTCTGCGACATTTGCTGTTGAGTTGGCCGACGAAATCGACCCTTCAAGAATACAATCAGCCCTTTTGCAATTCGAGGTGAGTTCCACGATTTGCAGTTGCACAAAGTCAAGGCTTCGTCATGCGCCCACGGTTAGAATCACAGAATACGACGTTTCTCGCAAGCGTACTACGCCCCTCGCAAGCTTATGTCAAGAAAAAATTAACGACAGCTTTGCCCAAAGTTACTTGATAAAATGGAATAAAATCTTAAATAAACCGTGACTTCACTTATCCGAGGTTCGCTAAGGGGCACTTGTGTTGAGAAGCCCTGCGCCATGATGACGATACAGCATCTAGATATAGTTGTAAGACACTTGTTTGTTATTCCATTCTTCTGCCTCTATCCTCACGAGTCAGCAATTTCATTGAGAGATGCACTTTTTAAATCAGAAAAAGTCCAAGCAACGATGATATAGCACTCGAATAAGCCAAGCATGAAGTCTAAAATACACACAGCCTATAGGCGAATTCACACTAGTGGGCCTTTATGTCCTCCCTACCCCTTCCATGTGATATTTTCGATCCTTCTGTAGACTAGCGATCCGCTGCTGAAGGGAGAACGTCTCGAGGTCTGGGAGGTTTTTCTGACGTCCCAGGACGTCGGTGAGCAGAACTACCACTCATCGAATCGCTTTAACAACTTGACTTGGCTATTCGAGAAGCATCGGAACCAGCACCCTAGTTATACAAGCATTCCTGCGCCCACGGTCATTCGTTCGAGCTCGCTGTCTTCTGACCGCACTGAGCCGGAGGTGTACAGGACGGACGCAATTCGAATCCGGCCAGGACGGGTAGCGGAGGCCATTGTACCAAATTTTCCTGGACTTGTACAAGTCACACTGGAGATAAGTGGCACATTCTTTCAGTGGATGTATCACAAAAAACGACAGCCTCTAATGCAAAAGGTTGTACGGACGCTGCTGGTAGTTTGTCCGAGGTGCGACAGTCAAGTGGATCCAGTGGATGTTAAGAAGGTGAGTTTTTTATCGCAATGCTATATAAGCCAATTTCATGCTTAGAGCTGTACGGTTTCATGCAATTATTACTGATTATAAAATAATGCAGATGTATCATGCTTATCCATAGCTGCAGGTACTTCCCAGACCAGAAGATGTTCCGATGGTGATTACCTTTTAGCAATCGAAAATCTCGATCAAACCCTGAACAAAGTACACAGAAACATCGAAAGGTCTTGCAGTTAATGACAATGTCTGAAGAATGCAAACTAATTAATCTGTGTATAGGTTGAAGTCCTTTAAAAGTTATGTCTAGCTGAATGTGCAAGTTTATTCAAGTCATTTTCTACTTTTAAATTTCCTTTAGAAAGTCCAGACGATTCCCTGACAGTCGGAGAATAGTTAAGCGTCAACTGTGTTTTGTCTTGCAAAAGTCCGATAACAAGTCCCAGTGCTAGGCTATTTTGACAGCAGTATTTGCCGTCTTAACTTTAAGGCACCCGAAAATGACTGTTTCTGCAATAAGTGGCTATATTAAACATTGGTAAATGAACAAATGCTTGGCTTAATTTGCGACGGTGTTTGAAAAGCTGTGAACTAGTTCAAGAGACAAATGTCTTGAACTTAGATGACAAAGTGATTAGAATAATTCCTCAGCACCGTGTCGACAGATCACGAAAGGCTGCTTAAAGTTGGGTCAGAGATATTGAAGCAGCCTGCAATTTTGAGCAAAATTATTTAACCGATGCAACCTATTCTAAAATGCACTGCTCGTACACTACGCCCGTGTGCTGCAATCTGGGCTTACTTGTTTGAACGTCCCATAAGATTCTAAGCAATCATTCAAAACTAATTTACTAGGTGCAATTAATTTCTGGATTTGGGTTAATTTTATTTAGTGATTGTCATACTTTATCCATACAGTAAATATGCTAGTGAATTTTAAACATTTTGACGGCGTTGTTCTAAATTTAACTTACTGAAGAAGGTACTAGACAGCATGATTTAAATTCTAGTAACATTCATTTCTGAACACTTTTGTACATTTATTCGTAGCATTTAGAAATAACGATTCTTATGCATTCAGTCTTTTTGTTTATGGACTAAAAACCTGAATATTGTCAAAAGTCACAAGTTTAGGACCTTCCGATGTCAAATTTGGCTAATTGAGGACCAATTTATTGAAAAACAGTGACACAATCACATGCCGCATAAAGGAACCTCAAGAGGACAATGGCAATAGCGTAAATATTTCAGCTACAGTTATGCCAATTGTAACTAAGAGCTTCTGTGCATTTCATAACAATGCAAATTTTTATCTGTTACTTGTCAGGGGATTCTTGAAATACGCCACCGAAACAGCATTCGACGGACACGGAGGTCGCTTGAACCCAATCACGGTCAGACTATCACTATTGGAAACAAGTGCAGCCCCAAAGGACACAAATTCAGTTGTTGTACACAATCATTCTCCCTAAATTTTGAAGATGTCGGCTGGCATAACTGGATCCTCCATCCCAAAACTGTGGAACCCAACTACTGTCATGGATCATGCCAAGGTAAGTGTGCGTAGTCTAACTTATTTTTTCTGCTACTGGATTTCAGCGCACCAAAAGTCACTTAAAATACGCTTTGCCTCTAATATCTTGTGAAGCTTTACTAATTATTCGAAAGAAACCGAGGTGGATATCAAAAGTTCGCAAAGTGTAAAGTCCATTTAGGACAGCCTATGTATGTTTAAAATGCTTCCTTAATTGTTTATGTGTGCAAAGAATTGCCAACTATTACCATTGCATGTTTATTAACGCTTTAGCTTTTGGAATATCTTTTTTTAATAAACAACAGGAGCGAAACTTAAAATTATCAGACCGACCCTAACTAGCTCCGAATTTAAATCCGACTAAATGCATCAAACGTAATCCAAAACATGTTATTTTCTTAGTTGGGCTACAATAAATTTGATTCGTGATTGATTAAACAGTAAAATAAATAACAAAATCGAAGAAAGTACAAGATATCTGACCTTAAAATCCTAACACATCAAAAGGCGCGTTGTTCAGGTCTAACAATGAGGAATTTAACACGCTTCATGTATAAGGTCATCCAAATTAATTAACAGAACTTTTAAAAATAGTAAGTGATGAAGTTTTCAAAATGATAAGTGCAAATGACATTAAAAAGAATGCAATTTGTGAACGGACACTTGAAAAGCAACGTGGGTGTTTAAATTTTCATGAGTCACTTATTTCAAAATGCAACGTTTAAACAATTTAGTTTTCTGCTGAGACGTGATTCAACGAACAGTGATTTAGGATAATTCTCTAAGTTTTCTATTGTTTTATTGACTCAACCCATTAATCCTTTGTCGCAAATCACATAAACTACACGTCACATTTGAATGTCTAGGCAATTGGATAAAAACCGTGCGAGTTTTATTACCTAACAGCTCAGACGGTAGCAGCCATGAATAGCTCTTAAATTCGATTTAAACACTTAACTATTCTTCGCCATAATACACAAGGTATTCATTTGACAAAAAATTTCACCAATTTTTTGTTGACCTTCTATCCCCGGATTTTATCACATGGTAAATTTTAGACTTACTGAAGCAGAAAATTTAGGCAGTATTTACCTTGTGGTTGGCAAAAATCATGAATCCATCTCGGTGATTAGACAGTTCTAGTATCGATGGATGATTTTCGCTAAGTTTGAAAATTAAAAACTCGTTTAAGTTTTGACAAAGATTACTTAGGTTACTGAATGCCATAGATAAACGTCGAAATTGTAATCTGTGTTAAGGTAGTCGAAATGATTTCTTGCGCATAGCAAATGAGTCAAACCCACATAAGTTATCGAGATTCACTTCGTTTTGGCAATAAATACACACAAAATGTTCTTATAGGGAGGTGGGATGTTTAACAATTTCGTAATGGTGGAGAGGTGAATTTCCAGTTTTAAAACTTCCTGTTATCTTTTGAAGTGATCCTCTATAAGAACATGACTGATTTCGTACGATTTTCTGAACGTTGAAACTGCAGCTGAACACTGAAATTAGACGAATGTGTAAAGAATTTAAATATTGTCTTGAAAGCATTTTATTAGCTTAAGCATTATTGAATAAATTAAAATTAAAATGTGCCAACCTGAAATGATGTAAAAATAGTCAACTTACGACTTGGTGAGTGGTAGTTGGGTTGTATTTCTGTTTCCATGTAAAACATGATAGGGAATTATGTTTTTTTTTGAAATGAGTTTAAGTTTGTGAAGTCAATGTAATCTTTACATTTTGGAAAGTTTAGTGCAAGTGAACGCCAAACGTGATACAAAATAAATATTCAAGAACCCGTTACTAAACACAACCCTGGTCAGGCAGTTTGTTCGTGTATATTCGGCAGCGAAGAAGGAGTCGTTTAGCGGTTTTTTCCCTAAGAACTTAACCGTCTAACAACCAATCTAGCACGACCCTCGTTGCTCTTACAAAGAAAACATGAAGCTGGGCAAGCGGTGTTGGTGATTATGACGATACAACATCCTTCGCAAAGCTGCTTCGAAGCACAACAATTCTTGTTTCAAGTTGCAAATGTTCTTACGGTTTAACTCAGGACTAAATGCCTGCTATTATGCATGATGCTTCTTCAAGATTTAATTCCACAAATCCATATGTTCAAGAGTCTAGAATTGTAAGGAGGTTAATTCGATTTTTCGAATCAAGACAGCACCTCACTTTCACTTTTCGATTTGTGATTTAGTAGCACCCCTTTTAATATTAGTGCAGTTAATCAAGAAAATATGCAATGGCAGACGCAAAGTGTGAAATAAACATGCCTGTTTCGTAACACACATCTACTTTCCAAGTTAATTGATTAAACAACGTCCATAGAACTATTCACGTCTAATCTGCAAATAAATTCTTGTATTTTTTGGGATGCTTAAACTCAAAATCATCTAAGCATAGACCTTTTTGAGAAGCGTAGGACGCGTGATGTCTTTTTGCCTTATCCTGTGAGGCCTAAGTACTACACGAAGTCTAGATAGAATCGCTTGCTTGGAAAATCCCCAGTGTACTGATACTTTAATGATAATAACCAAACTGATTCCGACTGCCAGACACTAACCGTCTGATTTATACTGTGAAGAAATCCTGGTTACTTGCATCAGTCCATCAACGACAATACAACGCGTAGTTTACTTAATTACCCAAATGAGCAGTTGCACATGTTGTCAGAAGGCTATCTAATGAACCCTTCCTCAGATATATATGTTGTATATTTTTCAAAGTTCAGTCGTCTTACTGACGTCGTGTTGGCAAGTAAGTAAATTTCAAATAATAAATTAATGTCCTTGATAGTTGGCAGTTTTGGGTGCTAGGGGAGCATAAAGTGCATGATTCCAATAACAGCTGTTAGACATGCGTCTAAAGCCAAGTATATCCTGACAACCTACTAGGGAGACTCAATGAGTGATTGTAAATGAGAATGACGGAAAGTTAATTTAAGCCTGTGTTAGTGGACTAAACTTGAATATATGCCCATTTTGTTGTGAGGATGCAGTCATAAACTGAAAGCATTAGCCGATTTAGGCTAATGACTGACGATAAGTAGGAATGCTAAAAAGCCCACCCCATTGGACTGAGGCTACGAAAGCATTTCAAAACGATTTCGCTGTAACTTTTCGTTAATACAACCAACCCCACGTGACATAATGGTACTGTTTTACTCTTTATTTTCAATATTTATGGCATAAAACTGTTTAGAGCATGTGAGGAAAGCATGATTTACTTAAAATGCACTTCCTGGTAGAATGAACTATTAGTTTAAATTTTTCACGTTGTCAAATGGAAGCGTGTCTGAAGACGCCGAAAAGAAACGTTCAGTGTTGATTCAACACCGAGGTAGGCTGAAAAGCCAGGCATCACCCAAGTTTGGCCACTAAGCAGCATCTGACAAACTTGATTTTAAACCTTTTGGCTCAAACAGTCAATTTCCTTAGTACGCTTTCGCTACTGACTTAGGTACTTAATAAAATATCGTAAAGGGAAGGATTAGCAAGACGTCTTGAAGTTAAAAAGAGGATGGTCCAGGTTATACAAAAACAGTAGATGACTATTTAACTAATGTGTTTGTTTATATGGAAACGTGTGTGTGTGTGCAGAAAAAGTGCAAGTACATACCACGCGACTTTGTGTCAAGTCGAGAAAAGTCAAGCATGAGCAGCTCTTGAAAAAGTCGCGCAAAATAAAAATCGAAAATGCGAATTCGCTTCTTGCAAATTTAAGGCACTGGGTAAATGTTAAATTTGTTTAGTGTGTACGATAGTAATTTTGTTTTTTTACTAATCAAGAAGCTGATGCGAAACCTAAAAGTTGGGCTTAAGATTAAGCGAAGGGCTCCTAATTTCACTAACACTTGCAAACTTCAGTGTTTGAGCTCACCTGAAATGCTTTTCACTTTCATACTTGGTTTAAGGGAAAAAGGACTGCATGAAATTATGGACCAGCAGTCACTTTTTAAAAATATTTTAGCCACCAAACGAAAGTCATGGAATTGCAAATATTAGCAAGGTATCGTGGTTTTCAGTATAACTTGTATTTACCACTCAATTTTCAGATTAAATTGAACTTTACGAAACATTAGTTTCCACTATTAGGTCATTTTGACATTATTACAAAAGATGCGACAAAACTGATTGTGTTTCGAAAAAAAAAATTTCTACTCTGGTGTTTATGGGAGAACAGGCACGAACGGATTTTGTATCTGGAAAAATCTGCTCTTATCCGTTTTGAAAAAACCAAATGCTGAATTTCTATACTTTTCAGCTAATTTCATTAAAAAACGCGATTTCTTTAATGTTTAATTCAGACAAATAAAACAATTGTGCAAGCTAGCAGATCAGTGCAACAATGGCCACTCTGACGTGCATCTTCCAGTAAATGTGTTTTGATCGGCTCATGCACTTTAATGGCACTTCAAAGTGCAAATTAAAAAGCCATAACAGCACATGTTTCGACTTGTTGAACAAATGTGGCTGGTGTTTGTCTGTGTCGGTTCGGCACTTTTCTGTGATGTATCGCTTAAATTAAGCATTCCTACACGCAACCAAACAAAGCTATTGTTCTTGCTCGTCTACGCGTTATTTTCAGTAGATAATAAAGTACTGATTTACTAAGTGCCATGCCAGCCATATTATCATAATTTATCGCTCGAAACCGTTGTCCACTAAATGCCACTCTGTTAATTTGAATTAATTTTGTAATTACTTGGTCCAGTTGCGATAGTAATCTGATAGGGACAGTAAATTGCAAGTTCCTCTACGAAATGTGTCTTAAAAGATTGGCGAGCACGCGATTCTAGTTCCATGTACACACGAGGAATTGTTAGTTATTGTGATGAGGTGCTGGTCAGAATTATATGGTTTGACTGTTGCTACAATGTATGCCTTACCAAAGTATGCGAATTACTAATTAGTACCTGGGTAGGCGTAAATTTTAGATATGGAAATTTTGAAATTGTGATTGGGTTATGCTTATTAAATGCCCATAACTCGTCTTCCAGAGCCAGAGTTCGCATTAGTCTTTCTGTCTGGTTTTAATTATGAGCGAAATTTTTGTAAATACCCTGATTTTTCACAGACCTTGGCTAATGGCTTCCTTAACCTTTTTCTGCGATTGGCATCATTACTTTTGATGACCCAGATAAACGGCAATTGATACTAAAGCATTCCTCACTGAAGATCCTTCTACATAATAAATACTCGTGCCGGGAAACAGACCATAGGCATTGCCAAGAAAAGTAGTCGTGTCGGATTGTAAGGTGACTTGAGCCACATAAGCATTCTCAGTCGCGCTGAGAAATGTAAATATTTCTAAAGGTCATGTGCGGGAATTGTTCATTCACCATGGTGCTTTAGTGACATTTTAAAGTGTTAATTATCTTAAAAATGTCTAATCCTCCTCTATTCTGTCGTTTGATACAACATCTGGTTTTGATGATCTCCAGTTTAATGCTTTAATGTGTTGTGGGCCCCCGCATGTGGTTTTGAACTACGCCGGGGCCACTGAAGTAGCTATGGCACGATTACGCTACCCTGATACCCGCAATGAAGGAAAAGACCGGAGAGGACGTGGACACAACCGTTTACTTCAGAGTTCAACCACGTTGGTGTCGCTGTGTCGTGTGTGGGGTTCGCGGCAACACAGAGGACTTTTAAACTAATTTGATAATCCGTTAATTGCTATTGCTTTATCACTAGCTGACGTTTTTGTCACGTCACAAGAAAGCCTCACCTAAGACCACCAAGAACACATGACAATAAAAATGATTAATCAGCCTTTTCCTGCCAAAATGAGTGATACAGTGATTGAAAAGAATTTCATATACTTACCAAAAAACAGAATTTTGTTGTGTAGGACTCGAGTGTTTGATCAGCAGAAATTTAATCGCTGAATCGGCTCTTGCATAAACAAGAATTAACAATGTTTTTATTTGAAGATATTGTTGTTTTGAGCTTTAAAAGTAATTAATTTTGAGACCTACATGGCAAATTCAAATGTCAGGAAACATCACCGGTGTTAAAGTAGGCGAATATTTTTAGGAATATAATTTCGTAAATTTTATTGCAATCAGATAATGTACAGGGGTCTTCAAAATACAAAATTGGGAAACAGCGACCTGGCATTTTCATTCATTGGGTTTAATACTGTGGCTTTGTTAAACGTATATGTGCTTGGTATCATAAATGGGAATCATCCTGTTCATGTACGCAGTTTGCTAATTTCAGTTTGTTTTAGCGAATACCTAACTAAGTTATAAAACCCGGCATGAATGTAAAGTAAAGCCCTTAAAATCAAGGTGTGTAATCAGTGTAAAACAGGACATTTGTAGCACGTGAATTTTCTGATTTCTGAATTACAGTGTTTGAAAAACTTAAAAATCTAGTGCCATCATTTGCTGAACTTTTAAAGTGTAACTAAATTCAGTTAGATTAGGTGAAATATCTTTAATCTGATTAGCTTTCAAATGGAACCATCAAATCTGAAAACGCTGCTTTAGAATGGCTGTTTTGGCTTTAAGAATGAACTTAGGTTCGCCTAAATAATTGAGCGTAAGTATTGCTAAATCTGGATGACCTTTTACTCACCTGACTTAATTTGGAAGATTTCGCCCGTCAGGAGTATGCTCTGTGTGCAATTTCGAAACCGAAGCTTTCACCGTACCACTAAAATCAAAATTGTTTGTTTTTTAAGCTGACGGTATCCAGAAGACACCGCACTCCGATCTCATGCACATCTACCGAAGTCAGAATTATGACCAACTCTCTGAAGTACAGCGTGAGGCAATGCTCTCGTGCTGTCATCCGATAAAAATGGCCAGCATGAGTGTTCTATACGTAGACCAGAACAATGAGCTTCGGATGAATACTTTGCATAACATCATTGTTCTCGAATGCGGTTGCAGCTAAAGGCCCCATTTCCCCTATTTCCTACAAAATTCAACTACAGGGAGAGAAAACACACTACGTCCTTCGCATTTACTCACATCCTTGCCCCAAACCCCCTCCCCCCACTACTGTACACATCTTTACTGTATATTGTGCCTATGGGCTTCGGGCGCCTGTCGACCAAGACTTTTGTCAGAACCTCATTCCAGTTACGTCTTATCACACAAGTGGCACAGGCTACTGCATCTTAGATCTATTTGCAAAAACTACGTAAACTGCACACTCACTCCCTATCCGAGATCTTAAAAACATTCCACTACAATGAAAACTCTACTGTCTTGGAGGCTTCGTCAGTATTTGATAATCGCATTACAAGCACCAACTAACCATTGTTTACACAAATAACGTACACCTCTTTCTTTGTATTCACACACAAACATCAACCTGTCCAGAAGACTCGATTTTACACCCACCTATTAACGGTACTTAACTTTAGTGCGTGTGTGTGTGTGACTTCTTCGTTCGATCTCTATTTCTTTCACTTTTATGGCTTTTACTGGTTTTGGTGTTGTTTATATATACATACATATGTGTGTGTGTGGCTGTTCACCGGTCCAGCGCAGAACAAAGTTTGCTTTCCCAAGCTTCAACGCGCAAACTTTTAACAGTACTCACTCAAGCACACACATTGAAATAAAAAGGAACTGAAGTACATTTCTTCTTGAATGTTCTTGGGCCGTTTTCACTACACTGAGCAGTTCTGCAACGACGGGAGTTGGATAGCTTGTGAAAATAAATAGTATACTATAAGAGCTACTTGTCTTGAAAGTACACATCTCTTAAAGCTGATCACTTCGGGGAACGCTTGCTGAATGATTACGTATAAATTAAATGTATGTTATCAAATTTTACATGGACTTGAAAATCTCGTACTGCAGAAAGATACACAAACAAGATAAATGTATAAAAATATGTCCAAAGTGCACCTGTAATTTCCCTAGAGCCAATTGAGCTTCATTCCGAGTTGAAGGCTGTTTGCAGCAGATGCCGCTGCGAAAACTGTGAGTTTGAACACATTACTGGAGTGTGTCCAGTCAAGCGCTTTAAAATTCTTGATTAAATTTCTAAGAGAAGAATAGGATAATTAAGGACTTGGAGCGGAGGTCTTAGCGGTCTAGTTTTGAATATGGTATTGGCACTATAAGCAAATAATTTCAACTAATATACAAGTAAATGCATTATTACTAATACACCCAGTAGTATACCGACATTGAAAATTAGCGCAGTTAACATTCATTTAAGCCATATTTACGCAGCACAGTCCCATCAAGCATGCAGAAATAAGCGTTTGACACATTAAAATGGAGAGGTGTAAAAGTAAGCAGTGTTGAGGTCCAGCCGAAAACTTTCATAACAAAGCTGGGCACGCGTACATAATTTGCATGTCATTAAGAAACGTAATTGAATCTGTATAGGTGAGTGATGGCAGAAAGCCCTCCCATGGAGATAATTTGCCTGGTCTTCAGCAAACGAAGAACTTGTTTTGATCCTTAAACTGGCCTCATTTTAACAACGAAATTAACCTACTACCGATAACGATAGCTTGACATTCAAGTTTATAAAAGAAAAGTAGAAGCGGCGTAATAGGATCGCACAGTGGAACTATTTGTGCGTGCACACGCATTTATGCTTGGCGAGCAAGTTTGTGCTTATTTATGGTGGGAGTATTTGAGGCGCGAGCGTTTTGTTGACTTGTGCGCGTGTGTTTGTCACAATCGAAGGGCCACGCTTGGCCCCCTTCGAAATGGGCGTGGTGGAGGATTTACAAGACAAACATAAGGGGCATTTTTGAACTTGTTCATATGAATTGTTCTTTCAAGATAGCCTTGTGAATGTTCTAAATTTACAACAGGTTGTGTGGTTGAAGTTGGGTTTTTTTGGTGCTGGCCAAGATCTCACAGGCTCTTTCATTTAAGCAGTGAAATTAAGATGGCTGATATTAAGACAAATCTCACTCCCTAATGGTATCACTGATATACACTGATTAAAGGGTTTCCCCAGTTGGCTTTTGCTGTCTAAAAGTAGCAATTTACTCTTTTCCTCGTGAAACGGTCGCATGTTATTGGCAAACGGATGATGCTTGTCCATGTGCAACCTCATTCAAGACAACTCATACATTGGGTTTTAGTTACTAGCAACAGTAAAAAGCATTCAGTATTTCCATGGTTTATGCTTGAATGTCTTCATAAAACGTCAACAAAATGTGCTTAGCATTATTGGTATCAAGGTCGCGAAGGGAAAACAGATGTATTCATAATTGGCTCAAAGTTCCGCATTCAGTACTCCGAAATCCTGGGAATGAAGCTGTATTTCAATGCCGTTAATGATGTTACTTTAAGGGGTTCCGTTTTAATTGAGAACGCTAAAATCCAATCTCAGATCATTTGTGATTTTGACACTTCAGGTCAATAAATAATTGATTTATTGGACAATGTGTGATCGCATGAGTAATATTAAGTCGTATAAACATGGAACCAAAGATGCCTTCAACGGATGGAGAAGCACACGTGACTTTGCGCCTTGGAGATGGCATAAACAAAGGCAGAAGTACTATCGCAAATACAATTAGTTGGCAGCCCAGGAGGAACTTGGACCTGCCACTGTAGCTCAAGGTTTCTCATCATTCCACAACGACCTCGCGGTCATGGCCTACTGCTGATGGTTTCGAATGGTCAAGGTGATAAGAAACAGGCAAATCTGCAATGATCGTCATCATAATAACCATCATCATCATCAGTTAAAAACCTTATGATTAATGCATGCGCGGGCGTACACTTTTCGTGTATAATACAACTACCGTGGGGGGTCGTATGTATAACCTTTTCGCCGGGGGAGTGGGAGGTATATCTCCTCTGGCGTACCGTGTAAGTCGTGGAAAGGTCAGAACAAGATAACAATAAAAAATGCGTCTTCATTCCTTCACCAAGCTTCGTTAAGCAAGTGGAGGAGAAGGAGGAGGTGAGGGTGGTGGTGATGTTGGAGCCAAGTGTAGTTGTAGTATAGTTTCTTTTGCTTCATTGCTTAACACAGATTTAAAACAGGAATCCACGATTTGGGAGTGACCTTTTTAGTATCACGGCCTCAGCCGCCCTCTCTAGCCGACCACCCAATATCTGGAAGGTGGTACGGTGGAGTGGCAAATGCATAGATTGTTTTTTGCAAATGAAGTTTTCCTCATTACAATTAACTATACAGGGATATAACTGTCCCATTCACGTTCCAAAATACTCCAATACTCAAACTTTACGACCTAAAATCTGAAACCACTTGTACAAGAAAGTGCCCTCAGTGTGCATCCACCAAAGTTATGCACCATTTTCACGCATTACAGATCATTCGTCGCAGGTGTGACTCAAAAGTGCATGCGCTTTGATTAGTTTTTTTTTTAATTGCAGGCAGCCATTGGGAAGTTCAAATTTATAAATTCTAAACGATGGACATTAATGTGTTCTACCATTGTGATCAGAGTTAAAACGCTTTGAAAGTGGATTAAACTTCACTCTATTTATGAAACCTTTCTCTGACATTTGTTTATGTTTACATATTAGCCTTTTTCTTCCAATTTATGGTAGAGAAAAGAAATGGTAGGTCATTTTAGGGGCTTTTAATAACACAAGGAGCTACTCTTCCTGATTTGAGTGAGCACCTCTTATTTGAAATCTATGGTAAGAAGAATGATTGGCAGAAATACTCAGGTCTGCCTGAAAGGGCTTATCTAATAGAATATATTTTCACGCAAACCGTGATATTGTCAAGGACATTGGGCTGTCAACAAAGGTGGTATAATTGGTCAATATAGCCTCGTGATGAAATCAGTAGTTGAGTATTCCATCGACCCCGATATCTAGCTTGGCCGTAACTTTTCGAACTTTTCCAGACATTACATTCTACCGTCACCTCGAATTACTCAAACGCACCGACAAATATAGCAAATTTTAGAAGTTAATTATATTAGAAGCTATACTCTTTTTAGACCCTCTGTCTGCACTAACTAGATGTTACACATCTCTAAACAGATGTAAAAATGACAGAATCCAGCAACTAATGGGGCATTTAATAAATTTCACCCAGTTAACAACAAACCCTTACTTCCAGCTTTGATTTTATAGTTCCAGTTACCTTATTCCCCTTGGACTAACAGAGAAAGTAAGCCTCTGAGTTTCCGAACGTTTTTTCTTCCATAAACTTTTAGGCAAAATCTGAATGTAAAGTTCCGTTTCTGAGAAAACCCTCTTCCAGCACATTGAAGAAGACTGTGGACACCCACGCACCTGCGTGCCTGCTTGTTTGCAGTGACATTTATGCACCCACTGATTACGAAAGGCTGCTCTTTACTGAGTCTAGTCGCACTAGTCTCGATATCTATCGCCAAAACATCCACTCCAGTATCTAAATGAAGTGAAAATGCTATCAAAACGGGTTACTAAAAATGTATTCTTTTGCACACTGGAAGCGTTAGATGAAAAATGTTGAATAAAGTAGCGTTTCGCTCTACCTAGCAGCAACGTAATGGCGATTCCACATTTATTTGCCTTCCTAAATAACAGTCTATGCCAACTAGTTCTTTGCTAACGGATTCTAATGCACTTACTCTCTTTTGTCTAAGCTGTCTTTGGTGTTGATTTTTGAAGCCAAGCCTAAGACTAAGTGCAGTCAAAAGGTATTTCTCCAATTAGGACATTCAAAGAGTCCAAATCTACTTAAGGGTAAAGACGTGCAAATGCAACTACAGTAATCGCTTCATCAAGAATTCAGTTCGGTAACTTCGCACGAAAATATGAAACAATTGTGGTCACAGCTAGAAAAACAAAAGGCCCTTTTTTTGCAACCGAACGCATGCCAGCGTCACTTTTGCAAACAGGCAGGAGGATTCCACTCATTCTCTTGACAGGGACAGGAGAAGTGTGTGTTCCCCCCTGCTAATTGTGTGAATTTTTGCTCGATGCACTCCGTCTCTCCCT